GGAGCTCCTTTACTGCATGTCCACCTGATCCGCCATCTTGTTTGTTCTCTGACCCTAATTTTTAAATCGTTAACTTCTCTAATAAACCCCATAACTGTAAGCTGTGGTGTCTGAGTTCTACGTGGCCATTGCAAAAAATGATCAAACCCAGCTGAGTAGACAGTGCTATGGGAGGGATGGTTGTTGTCATCAGAACTGTGGAAGAAGAGTGGAGGCAGTTCTGATTTCAGCCTTATAAGAATTGGCCTTGGGCTGATGCTGATATGGAGTTTGATTCTCCTTTCTCCTGCTGAAGTAAAAGGAGGTCAGACTTCGCCTCCATGCCATTCTTACAATAGCGTACAATTCACCCAAAATAAAACTACTGAAGAGATGAAGAAAATGGCACAATAAGTCTTTGGTTTTCTTTGCTTATAGTTCCTGAGAAGAGGTTTCCTTTTATCTTGGTTTATTTTCCAGGCCAGCATCACCCTCTGCAGTTCAGATTTAGATGGAAAAATAGATTGATTACAGCAAAGACAAAGAACTTCAGGCTTCTGTCTTGTAATCTTGTCCAGTTCCAGCCATGAAAGGCAGTGTTTCCAGGATATAGACTTATTCGTACTGAAAAAACATCCTGCCAATAATGTTTCCATTTGATAACCCAGAGTTATTTCTCAACAGTTGTTTCAAACCACTCTCAACTCCCTTTTGCACTGTTGCTCTGTTTTCCTCTCAGCAGAACATCTAGAAAGTTCTGCTTAGTCTAGGTGTAAACTGATGACCTTCCAGAGAGGAGTTATGAAAGGGAAGGACAGGTTTGGCAACCTTCTCCAGGATCCTGCTGCATCAATTATCTTCAGTCTCTCTGTCAGGTCCTGCTCCTGATCACTCACGTGCTTGTTTCCGTTATTCTTGAAAATATTCCTTTGCCTCTCCCTCCACCAAATGTCTTATAGACAAGTTTTTACTTCCTACCTCGACTTTCTGACCTTCCTCTCAATAGTCTCTCCATCACTGATCTGGCTTCTACTCCCACCACGTCAAGGAGAACTGCTCTGGCAAGGACCACAGAAAGATAGAATGATAATATGTCTTCTTGAATATTTTGTCCTGTAAGAGTTCTCTGAAGAATTGGACTCTATATCGAGTACCACTTTTGTGGCCTTGGAGATATCATGTCTTGTTTTTATGCCCCTTTGTCCCAATCTCTTTTTCACATATTCCTAAAACTCTGCCCATCCTTCCCTTGAAATGTTGTTCTCTTCTATACTTGGGCCTCTTCTCTTGCAGTTTTCTTCCTAGCTGATGTCAGCGTGTTCTCTTAGCTTTAGGTACTGCCTGAAAATCCCCAGTCCTCATGTCCAAGCTGACCCACTCCCTGAGTTCTCTGATGTACTGAAAGCTCTCTCATCTGGGTACAGTAAGTTAATTAGAAAACAAAGGAACCACAGGAGAACCTTCATCTATCTATCTTCCACTATTTCTGACATTTCCTTGCTGACTATACTTATGCCAAGAGAGTTGACACCACTACAGAACTCTTGGCACACATAACCAATCTTTTGTTATTGCTGTGTGGCCTTTGAGTTAACTCCAACCACATGGACTGCTAGTTCCTCAGGAGAAAGATGAGGCTTTCTGCTGCCATAAAGATTTACAGCCTCGGAAACCCTGTACAGGGTTGCTATGAGTTGGAACCGACTCCACAGCACATAACAAGAACATATTTGGTCAAACATTTAATTAACTCACCCCTAATGTGAGTCCTAAGGAGCTCTGGCAGCATAGTGGTTACGAATCAGGCTGTGAACCACAGGGTCAGCAGTTCGAAACTACCAGCTGTTCCGCAGGAGAAAGATGAGGCTTTCTGCTCCGGTAAAGATTTACAGCCTCGGAAACCCTGTACAGGGTCGCTATGAGTTGGAACCGACTCCACGGCACTCAACAACAACAACAATGTGAGTCCTGGTGTGATGCTATGGGCTAATGTGTAAGACTGCAAAATCGTTTGAACTTCAAGGGTCGCTATAAGTCGGAATTGACTTGATGGCACTTAACAACGACAATGTGAGTCATGGTGTCCTGGTGTGGCTCTATGGATTAATATGCTAGACTGCAAAATCGGTTTAAACTGTAAGATTGGTGGTTCAAGCTAACCAGTCGCTTCTTGGAAACCAGCTACAGAGTCGCTATGTGTTGGAACCGACTCGACGGCACTTAACAACAAACAATGTGAGTCCTGGTGTGGCTCTGCGGAATAAAGCAGTGAAATGCAAAGTCGGTTTGAACCACAAAGTCAGTGGTTCAAACTCACCAGCTGCTCCTTGGAAACCCTATACAGGGTCGCTATGAGTCAGAACTGACTCGACGGTACTTAACAACAATGTGATGGTTGGAATGATTGCCTTGGCAGAGCCACACCAAATGATTTCGCGGGCCTTACACGACCTGGAACTGGGCCAGTTGTTCCCCACCCCTACTGTATAGGGTTTTGGAGGCTATAAATCGTTACAGGAGCTGAAAGTCTTATCTTTCTCCTGTGGAGCAGTTAGTGGGTTTGAACTGACAACCTTGCAGAAAGCAAGGGGTCCTCTTATCTGCTTACCTCACAGTGCCACCTGGGCTCCTTTTGTGATACTAGGAAATAATCATTTTTGTGATACTAGAAAATATTTATTCATTCATCTAATAGACCATGGGAGACATCCAAGGAGGCACTGCTTCTATCTCCTAATTCAAGTGGCTAAGCTTAATCAAAGATGTACTGTTTGGTGCCTCGGAACACCAAAATATGGGTGTTGTAGGAGTAGAGGAGGCTTTTTCTGTAGATAAACAAGGACACTTGCAGTTGGCGACTAGCCCTGTCCAAACCCTTAAGAGTTCTGAGCAGGAAGCAGACTACAACTCCCAGTAGGCTTCGCGCATACAGCCCACCGCAGTCCTTCACGGGTCAAGTCCAGTTATCCTCCAGGGTTCTCTTCTTATCCTGTGCCCAGAGAACATAGCAGAGGGAGCACAGGCGGGGAAGCCGACTTTTCTGAAGAAAAGAGCGGAGGCAGACAATGAGAAAAGGCGTCATTGAGACTTTGCTGGTTTTCGCGCGCTTTTGCGCGGGGGATTGTGGGTATCGCTCCCTGGAAGGATAAGAGTCAGGAGTTGTGGCCGCGCCACCCGCAAGGCCTGAAGGGATGTTCGAGGATGAACCTGATGTGGAGGGGGCAGCGGTGGTCTCCATAGCCGGGGAGGCGCTGCAGGCCCTATGCCAGGAGCTGAACCTGGACGAGGGGAGTGCGGCCGAAGCCCTGGATGACTTCACCGCCATCCGGGGCCACTACAGTCTTGAGGTGAGCGGCGGCAGGTGGGGACGCCCGACGCGACCCTTGGCGCAGCCGGCGAGTGGCCAGACCCCATCCCTCCCGGCTCCTCCTCTCTAGGGTGGTGGGAGTTTCCCCACCGAGAAGGGTCGCTACCCAGCCGGGTATGGGTACCAATACGTGAGGGGCTGATGAAGATCAGCCCACCCATGTTTTGAAGCAGGAACCTGAAATCCCGAAAAGGAGTGGCTTGTTTAAGGTAACTTGTCAGGGGCTATGAGACTTCACACTTGACGTGCCTTGGTCTCCCTTAGAGTCACCCACGCCCTGACTCTGCCCTAAGCTGGACAAAATCAACTAGTATAGTGGGGAAAGCCCAGGGACCGAGACCCTGCTCAGTGCTGCCAGTCTGTCCTCTCACTGCCACAGCCCCAGAGGCCACAGTGCTGTTAGTGGAGCTCTGACTGAGTCTGGACTACTAACTGCAAGGTCGGTGGTTTAAATGCACCAGTCTCTGCTTGTAAAGCCTATGCAGGGTCTCTGGGAGTCGGAACCAACTTATGACACATAAGGACGACACCTCCTGCCACCCCAGTGAGGAACCGCTTGGTACTTTGCAGCATTGCACTATACATATACAGCAGCTTGATCAGAGCTAATGTGCACACAGTGATTCCCTCTTAGACTCAGTTTCTTCCTCTGTCAAATGGGGAGAATAATTCCTAACATATTTCATTGGTGGGAGGCGTAAAGGAGTTTACGATGTTTGGTCCAGTGTCTGACTCAGTAAAATAAATACAGGTCACACCGGCCTTCCCAGGGTTCTATTCCTCATTAGTAGGTTCTGAATTAAGTAGAATACATTTTTTTCTTTTCCATTAGTTTTATCTTTATAAATCCAATCCTTATTTGCCTTTGGGGATTGGAAGTACTACATATAAATGTATAGATACCCCCACCTATTGCCACAGACTAGATTCCTACTTACAGAGACCCTATATAGGGTTTTTTCCTAGACCATAAATCTTTATGGGAGCACACAACCTAATTTTTCTCCCTTGGGAAGATGGTAGATTTGAACTGTTGACCTTGTGGTTAGCAGCCAAACACTGAACCCTCAGATGCCACCAAAAATAACCCCCCAAATCAGATGCCCTGCTATTGAGTTGATTCCAACTGTAGTTTCGCCTATGGATCAGCTAGTATATTTGAACCACCAACCTTGTGGTTAGCAACCCAACACCTTCACAGTGTCACACATAAATACATTAAAAAAAAAAAAAAAACCCATAAAACTTTAATGATGAAGAAGAGTTGGATAATGTTGCATTTTGTCAATTAAGGTAATAACTCCATTTTTTGGAAGGTTCTGGATCATCTGGATTATCCCTGGGAATGGGGATGGTACTTCTAGTCAGAAAATTAGTGAGTAGTTGGGCTGATTCTTTTCTTTATTTTGATCCTTTTCTTTTTTCTTCATATATTTTGTGGCTACATCTCACAGCTTGCTGAATCTGCCTATGGACTTTAGCATTTGGGTCCATATTTTCAAGCAACTATGTATGCAGTTCAGTTGTCACACATTATTAGAATTGTCCATTGTGACTCCTGATACAGACTTTAATTTCTTTGTAGACCAGGCAATGTTTTGAACAGTAAATCATAAAATTGAGTGCCTGTAAGTTAACATTTAACAATGTTAATATCAGCAAATTGCATGCTGCCACTTTGTATATGTCCTGGTGTGGTGCTATAGGATAAGCACTAGACTGCTAACCACAAGGTTGGTGGTTCAAACCCTCCAACCACTCTGGAGAAACCCTTTACAGGGTCGCTATGATTTGGAACTGACTCAATGGCACTTAACAGCAATAACAACAACTATTGATAAGTGTAAAAAAAAAAACACAAGAAAAATCAGTCATAAGTGCAGTTTATTGTAACTTGAATACATTGTAGGTTGGGTACTACCTGTATTAAGTGTTCAATTCACAAATGTCACTTTTATTATAGTATTGTAAGTTGTGCTATCTGCTAAGATGGATGCCCATACTTAATATTTAAAAGTTAGCATGTGTAAGCATAAATTTATCCCCAAATTTTTGCCTAAAAAAAAATGACAGTCTTCTTTTTGTAACACAAGATATAGGTATGTATTTTTATGTGTGACCCTCCCCCTTACTAACTTTCTACTTTGATCTTTCCTTTCCTTGACAAACTGATTTAAAAAGACACATAAAACTGGAATGGTTGAAAGGAATTTCAACATCATCAAAACCATGACTGGTGTTTTAAAATTAAGAAATCTGAGCAGAAATTTATTTAAGAGAACCCTTTCAATAATACACCTGTTGTTGTTAAGTGCTGTCGAGTTAGTTCTGACTTACAGCAACATTTAGTGACTGGTTGGTTTGAACCACTGACCTTGCAGTTAGCAGTCCTGTGCTTATCCTGCAGTGCCAAACCAATAATACACCTACTCCTCTCTTACTGTCTTGTTATCCAACATTTCACATATACAACAATAGTACAAAATCTATCCAACATATGATACTGGGCAAATCTGCTGCAAAAGATCTCTTTAATGATAAAAAGCAAAGATGTCACTTTAAAGACTAAGGTGCACCTGACCCAAGCCATATGCATGTCAAAGCTGAACAAGGAATAAGGAAGACTGTAAAGTTCATACCTTTGAATCATAATGTTGGCAAAGAATATTGAATGTACACCATGGGTACTCAGAAGAATGAACAAATCTATCTTGGAAGAAGTACAGCTAAAATGCTCCCTAGAAGCTAGCATGGCGAGACTTCATCTTTGGACAAGGAGCTCTGGAAGCGTAGTGGTTACGAATTGGGCTGCGAACCGCAAGGTCAGCAGTTTGAAACTGCCAGCTGTTCCGCGGGAGAAAGATGAGGCTTTCTGTTCCTGTAAAGATTTACAGCCTCAGAAACCATGCACAGGGTCGTTATGAGTTGGAACCGACTCCATGGCACATAACAACAGCAGCAACAACATGTTATCTGTAAACAGTTCTTGGAGAAGGATATCATGCTTAGAAAAATAAAAGATCAGTGAAAAGGAGGAGGACTCTCAACAAGATGGGTGGACACAGTAGCTGCAACTACTATGGGCTCAATATAGTAATAATTCTGAGGGTGGTGCAGGACCAGACAGTGTTTCGTTGTGTTGTACACAGAGTCACTATCAGTCTGAATTAGCTCCATGGCACCTAACAATGACTGTGGGACTATTTATGTGTTAGCAATGTAGGTAATGAGGCAAGAGTCAACACTGGCTGTGATGGTTAAAGTTACATGTTAACTTGGTTAAGCCACAATTCTTAGTGGTTTGGCAGTTTTGTAATGATATAGCCGTCCTCCATTTTATGATATGATGTGGTCTTCCTCCATTTTTTCATAATGATGATTTATGTACAGTAACCTGGTTTTTGGAACTTAGCCATGTGGATAATTGAGGAGTGGATGTATTAGATACATAGCATGTTATTGTTAAAGGAGCCCTGGTGGCACACTGGGATAAGCATTGAACTATTAACCACAGGATTGGTGATTCAGACCACCAGGCACTCCATGAGAGAAAGATGAGGCTGTTTGTTTCCATAGAGATTTACAATTTCAGAAACTTTATATATAGGTCACTATGAATTGGAATCGACTTGATGACAGAGAGTTATGTTATAGTTCTAAGAATATAGAACTAAGAATAAGGTGTTTTATACTCAGCACTGCAACTAACTGTGCTTTGCAACCTTGGGCAAGTATCTTTACCTCTCTGGCCACATTGACATAGTGACTGTGGCAATGAACTCTAACAACAGCGACTGTGAAGATGGCATTTCGTTCTGTTATACATAGATCACAATGAGTTGAAATAAATTTGATGGCAACTGAAAACAATAACCACAACCCTTTATCTACAGAAGGAAAATTAGACCAGATAATTCTAAGATCTCTTCCGACTCTAGAGTTAAAGCATTTTAACATAATAACATATCCATTTTGCTGTTTGCCTTTTGCCTGCCAGGGAGAAGTTATACACTGGTTGGCATGTTCATTATATGTTGCATGTCGCAAAAGTATTATTCCCACAGTTGGAAAGGGTGTCATGGAAGGAAACTGTGTATCACTTACCAGAATACTACGTTCTGCTAAATTAAGGTAAAGTACATAGTTTTAGTATTGTTTTATAAATTCTGCATTTAAATTTAAAGAGCTCTGGTAGCATAGTGGTTATGAGTTGGGTTGCTGACCTTAAGGTCAGTAGCTCGAAAATACCGGCTGTTCTGTAGTAGAAAGACAAGACTTTCTGTTCCTATAAAAATTCACAGCCTCAGAAACCCTATGCAGGGTCGCTATGAGTGAGAACCAACTCCACAGCACAAAACCAACTAAATGTTTAAGTTTAGAATTTAACTTTTCTTAATTTAAATCATTTAGCTTCATTTAATCTTGATGCTATAGGGTAAGTACTGAGAACCACAAGGTTGTTGGTTTAAACACACCAGTTGTTCTTCTACAGGATCACTATGAGTCAGAATCAACTCAACGGCACTTAAAAACAATAAGGTTGTCCTGGTGTGGTGTTGTGGGATAAGCACTGGACTGTACATGCAAAGGAGCTTTAAAAAGATATGGAAAAATTCCATTATCTTTTTTTTTTAGATTTAGACCTTTGGCACTTTATTTCTTGCTATTAGTATAGTGTTTTCAACCTATTTTTAAGTAAGATGCCACATAGGAACATTCACATTGACAGTTATACTGCACATATATTCTTTTTTTTTTTTTTTTAATTTAAGGTTTTTATTGCAGATTGAGTGAAAGTTTACAGGGCATATCATCAGTTTTACATTCAACAAATCATATACCTTGTTTCATTACATTGATTATAATCCCCTCCATGTCCACTTTAGCTTTTGAAAAAACAAACAAACAACACCCAAAGTAAACCCCCCACCTCAACCCCATGTGGTTACCTTATATTCCATTAGTTCTTCCCTTCATTTAAAACAGTCTATTTGTATCCAGTAATCTACCTGACCTTCTCACCACCTGGATCTCTGTTCCTCTGTGTTTACCTTTTATCACATTGTAATTGTTTTGATCATAGACTGACCTCCTAGATCCTCTGTTCTTATAATTTTATTCTGTTCTT